GGCCCGCTAAGCAAAGGAGCCGAACAAGAACATTTTTTTTTTTTTTGTGTTTGAAATATAAACGATCCGAATATGAGCAATTATATTTTTTAACGAGTCGATCAAGAGCTCATTTGCAACCCTAATTCTAACTTTTAATAGATCTTTTAAGATAATGCTAAGATGACTTTTTTGTTAAAAATGGAAGGCGTTGCAATCTCCAATGCAAAATCTCGCTTAATACTCGAAAGAATAGGATTACCATATGCAATATTAAAATGCATGCACGCAAACTTCATTAATTTAGAGCAACTACAATCCCCACCCAAACTTCATTAATTTTTTTCCTAAGTGGCCATCACTTTAGAGCAACTACAAATGCCTTTATGCATATAAATACACACATGCACGCATGCCTGCTCGCGCACGTACGCATAATATATAAGCGTCGTGATGATAAGGTCGCCAGTAATGAATCACATGTTGAGGATGATGAACATATGAATTGCAACACGCGCTAGTGTTTGATGTGGGTTGTTGAGATAGTGGTGTCGGATTTAATGAAATAAAATCATTTACAAAATGTTTGGATTGACATTAGGAATGATCAGTGATGTGAGTCGAAGGTGTTTAACGAGCAAGAAATTTGGGGTTCTCTTGATTTAGACTGAATACTAAATTTCTTAAAATGATCATAAATTTCACACAAAAATTTATCATAATTCATATCAAAGAATATTAAAATTAAAATGCATGCAAATGCAATAATACTTCTAATAGCTTGAACAAATAGCCCACAAGCTATGTGAGAGTATTATTGAATCTAATCCCATTTTAAATAGTTCAATTTATATAGGCATAGAAATAAATTTATTTATAAGGTATTGTGTGTGCATTTTTTTGTTGAAAAATTAAACATTCCCTTAGTGATATATTAAAGGTTGCAATGGTGTTGAGGCACACGTGTGAAACTATTATTTAGCCCATTCGCACGCGTCAAAACAAACAAACAAACAAACAAACAAACAAAATGAAAAACATAAAAGACGATGTTGGCAAGTACCAATGAGTTACGGTAAATAGATAATTTGCGCTATAAGCTCCCTCGTCCCTCACATCACGGAAAGTAATATTACAATAATCACAAAATTAAATTTAAAAATAAAGCTCATCATAATTTTCTCTCTCTGCTTGTATACATTCGAGTTGCCTATATATAATGAAGCGAATATTGCATATAAAATCCACATATACAGATTAATGACACTTGATAGTATTTTGATGACATTGCAATACAGTACTAAGATAACACTATCAAATATCGGGAACAATTCACACTCCCCATTAATCATATGGAATTTTGTTGATCGTTGTGATATCAGATTAAAAGTGATATGTCAACTCTAAGTCTATCCACATTAAGGGTTGATTGAACCACAACAAAATTACTGTATATGTTATTGCATTTATGTTATGATACATTATCTATACATTCAAAAGTTTTAAATATTTATGTTGAGAATATTATAGGACTTATCACATGAAAACAAATTGCTAACTAATATTGAGAGTTGGACAAAGTTCATATATAGAATTAAATTTATAAATGACAAGTCATCAACAAATTTCTATTAATAGACATACAACTCCAGGTGTATAGTGAATCTCAAGACAAATTTTTGAATCATAAACATTCAAACTTCGATTAAAAGTTATCCAGAACTTTAATTTTAGAAAACTTACAGCCAAGCTAATTGGTTCAACGAATTAGACAATGATTAAAAAATTAATCCGTTATGAGTCAATTCAAGCCCATATCAAGCAGTTAAACAATTTTTAAAATCTTTCAGTACATAATTGAAAGGTCAAACGAAATTCAAATCTGACATGCTTATAGTCAAATCGAGTGTCTCAATAAGACAAATCTAACCAGACCAAAATCACTCATCAATGAGGTATTTAAATTTTTTAGAATATTGTCTAATATAGTGAACCTTACCTAGTCATTTGATCAGAGTGGTCTGGATTTCATTCTTATTTATAACTTAGGCTCTATAAATAGAGTCATAACCCCTCCCTTAAAAGGAGACGTAAACCATGAGCCCCAAGTGTACTTTGTTGGCATCATCTCGATGTCCCAATTATCGACGAGCTGTCGCCCGTTTGCAATACGATGATTTTTTCTCTCCTCCTATGGCCGAATGTGCTTTGACGTATTGTGATTCCCCGTCATGATCATTCGATTGTTTCGCAGGAACCATTTACTGATGTGCCTGTTACCCATGTGAGATTGTGAGAGACATACTCTCCACCCCCATGACTTAGCAGGAGCTATAACAGCATCAAAACATTCCCCTGCGAAATCATTATCCCTCGATGGGCATGTGCTAGTTGTTACTAATAATATAAGCAAAACTCTTTTGGATCAATAATATTCTTGAATAACCCCCAAGATTCAATTAACCAAGTGGGATACGTCATCTTGGGAGCACCTTAAACCCTAGAATAGACAAACACACATGAATCTCTGGTTGTTGGTAGCTTTCGTAGGTATTCTTTCATAGTTACTTGACATAAGTCATTTTGGTCCAATCTTCTTCGTACGTATTTGCTTGACCTATCATAGCGAGGTTTGTTGCACGAAAGTTATCTACATTCTTTCTCTTGTTTGTCCGTCTTTGTTTTATGTTTTGTAATTTCGGTTCTTCTCTTCTCATAATCATTCATATGATCTGAAAGAGTGACTTATTCAGAAAATGAAAGTATACAACGATGGACAAACTAATGACTATTAAAAATAAAAAGTGAAATGAGCAAAAAAAACGTGTAATTACCAATTCATAGTGGATTGTTTTGACCGGGCCAAGTCTCGTGATTTTTTCCTTTTCATTATTTTCCATTTAAGAAATTTTAGTGTCTCTATTGGTTGTTTTCTTTTATATGAGTGTGTATTGGATCTCTTACGACGTTAAGATGATAATTCATTACTCCACCACCACCACTTTTCTAGCACACATCAATAAATTTTATAAGAGAAGAGATCCATGTAAAGTTTTTAATTTTGCACTCATGAATACCTTTTCTTCCGACATTATATTAAGATTTTATGTTTATAATTTTATATGATTTTTGTATGAAATTTCATATATAGGATCCATATAGCAGTGTAAGAATGCAATTTTGTTAATAGAGGATGACATTGTAGAGAGTTTCTAGTAAGAACTTTGACCTCACACTATATATCATATGGGGCTTTTAAATTAGCATGTCCTTCCTAAGATGTTTATAAGGAATATTTCACTTTTTTTTTTATGCTCTATCATGGTCCATACCCTAATGGGTTCTCTAGAGATTGTTTGAATGAAGAAGTCGTTGTTGTTGTACCTTTCTGGCGTTCATGAAATGATGAGCACTTTAGTTACCTTTGAATGGAGAAATTTTCATTTATTATTGAGCCCTTGAGAAGCACATATAATGGACCCAACTAGAACTTTTCTTATAGTGGGAATTTTTAATTTACTTCACTTTTCTAGAATCCATGGCAAATCTTAGCCCTATACCAATTCAATTTTAGAAATTTCAAATGTTTTTTTGTCTTCAAATGTATTTCTTGATTTATATGAACCAAAAAAAACAAACAAAAACAAAAGCAAAAACAGGGACAAGAGATAAGTTTAAGCAATGTCATCTTACATGGCTTATCTACTTGGTAGTCATCGTTATTAGTGTTAGATTGTCACAATGAGCGTTAACTTTGGCTTATTTCGACATGATTGACATCAACTGCTGACTTTTGCCTTCTATACGTATTCTTGAAATATTTTCATGTGATCTTATATTTGAGGTTATCTTATTATTTGAACTCATACATAGGCTTTTATGGCTAGACAATTATATTTGCATGTTATATACATCTTGATGTTTAATTTTCCTTTTTTTTTTCTTTCTGTTTTTTAATGACTATTGTAAATTAAAAAATATTTTTGTAAGAAACAATATTTTAAAGCAAAATTTTCCCAATAAAGCTATTAACAATAGAGCTGAACGATTTAGCGTTGAGGTCCGACTTGTGAGTTAAAATTAGGTCTTAGACAACTAATTTGACCAAGATTTTAGGCCGCATCACTTTTAGTAAGTTCTAACTTACAACCGATTCAAATCCACTTTCAATAAGTAATTTATTGACTATTTTTATTATGGATAATAATATTATTAAATGGAATTTGATATGAAATTAAATAGATATAAAGCTCTTCCTATCCACATCAAGATGACCCCACGCACTGCAAAATCAATTGATTTGTTTTAATAATAATAATTATTATTATTTCGAAGGTTATGGATTAAGGTGACACGAGGGCATATTCCTCTCCAAAATTCTTATAAATTTATATATCTTGTATCTAATTTTTCATAATATACATATACATATATACATACATATATACATACATATATATATATACATACATATATACATACATATATATATATACA